AAACATACCATTCCAACTGCATACAGTGTACTAGGACTATACTGGCTCATCTTTGCATAAAAAGGAATTTAAGTACATTTGCATTATGAATATTGGAATAAGAAGACCCAGTAGAAAACAGGGAGGGCTAAGGAATCAATTTCTGTTTAAGCAATTGTAGAAAGTCCCTCTTGTCCTACTCCAAGCTTGCATTTTCACACATAGAATCACAGCGAATCAGCAAGGTTGAAAGAGACCTTCAGGATCATCCAGTCCAACTGTCAACATAGCACCACCACAATCATAAAACCATGTCCCCAAGTGCCACATCCAGACACCTCTTGAACACTTCCAGGGAGAGTGACTCCATCACCTCCCCGGGCAGCTTTTTCCAGTGCCTAACCACTCTTTTAGTGAAAAGGGTTTTTTTCTAACATCTAATCTGAACCTCCCCTGGTGCAACTCAAGGCCATTTCCTCTTGTCCTTTCACTTGGGACACGGCAGAAGAGATCAACCCCACCCTCAAAACAACTTCCTTTCAGGTAGTTGGACAGATAAGGTCTCCCCCAACCCTCTTTTTCTCCAGAGTAAACATCACCAACTCCTTCAGCTGCTCCTCATAGGACATGTTTTCTAAACCCTTCACCAGCTTTGTTGTCCTCCTGTGGACATGCTCCAGCACCTCAATGTCTTCTTTGAAGTGAGGGGACTGAACACAGGATTCAAGGTGTGGCCTCACCAGTGCTGAGTACAGGAGGACAGTAGGACAGTCATCTTCCTGGTCCTGCTGACTACACTGTACTTGATATGGGCCAAGATTCCATTTGCCTTCTTGACTACCTGGGCACATTGCTGGCTCATATCCAGACAGCTGTCACTCAGCATGCCCAAGTCTCTTTCTGTTAAGCAACTCTTCATACACTGTTCCCCAAGGCTGTAGAGTTCCATGGTGTTATTGTATCCAAGGGCAGGAGCCAGTACTTTGCCTTACTGAACCTCATAAAATTGGCCTCAGCCCATCAGTCCAGCCTGTCCAGGTCCCTCTGTAGAGCCTTCCTACCCTTCAGCAGATCAACAGTCCTACCTAACTTGGTGTCATCTGCACACTTACTGAGGATGCACTCAATCCCCTTGTCCAAACGATTGAAAAAGATATTAAACAGGTGTGGCCCCAATACCAAACCCTGGGGAATCCACTAGTGACCAGCTGCCAGCTGGATTTAGTTCCATTTAGTTCATTTTGAATATGAATTGTTTGGAATTAATAACAAATGAGACAAACAAAATTGAGAGACTCCTCTTTTCTTTATTTTCTTTTTTCCCCCCCTTCCCTTCCCTTCCCTTCCCTTCCC